GGAGACACAGTGTGCAAGAGAGTTAGACAGTGAGCAGTGTGGAGAGACTGACAGAGAGGCACAGAGACAGGCCAGGTTCTCTATGTTTCCTGTTGTTGCAATAAAACTCAGCTGATCATCTCACGGAGTACCTTCATTCTTTTGACCAGTGTATTTCTGTCTCTGTTGTTAAATAAATATTGCCATAACAGTCCTGTTTCACTAAACCAAAGAAAAAGTATTACAAGAATAAGAACAGGAATCAGCAGGGAGATTTTGATATGAAACAAAAGTGAAGCCATTCACTGTTTTTACAGGCATGGTTGAGTTTTTTGAAAGAGAGGAGCACATTCAGATGTACTCTCTTTGATGAGTATTCTACTGACTCAATCACAGACCTCCTGAAAATCATGGAATCGTCATGATTGGAAAAAAAACACAAAGTACAAAATCTGCGGTGACAAGGAATGGCAGCACATTCGCCTACAGAAAACCTGAATCACCAAATGGGTTTACAGACAAAGACTAAAATGGAAGAAAGATGAATGAAACCATATTAGTTTGCAAATGATCTGTTTGTTTTTTTTAATTCATAAAAGGTTAGCTGAAATAAGACTGAAAAAGCACGTATGAGTTGCACTAACTGTCTTTTGATGCTGAAAATATTTTACATTTTATGTCAGTACTTCTAAAAGTTTTTAGCTAGAAGTATCAATGCAGCAACTGGGACTCTGTTGCAGCAAAAGATCTGAAATTATATCTACATTTATTTACCCCAAAAAACTATGAGCAGTTGACATGAATTTCAATTTGAATGTATTTTAAAAATAAAGTCTTCAAACAATAAACACAGATTTTATCTCAAAAAAAGCACATCACATACTTTATCTGTCACAGACTGCTTTTTTCATCAGATAAAAACTACACAAAGTATTTTTTGTAAGAAATACAAAAATGTCCTGTTATAACGTTTTCAAATAGAATGTTTTAAGTAAAAAGAATGGTTAACATGGTGGTGGAAGTGTCATCAAAAACACCTTGGTTTAATTGTAGAGTTTCCTTTTTTTCTGTCACCTGTAGATGTCTTTGACTGTAGGTTTGAGAAGCACATGGACAAAATCACAGAAAATACTTATGAACTGTTTAAGGACACTTCCACTTTCACTGAGACGAAATCATGCCAGAGCAGCATATTAATTCACAGCAAGCCAAATGTGATGATTCGTAAAGTGGACAGAGAGTGACACAATCCATAAATAGCTGCATATAGTTGAAACAACGGCAGCTTTGGTCCTGTAACATGCATACGATGTCTAGATGACTCAAATTCTCCTACACTGAAGCTAAGAACCTCTGTTACTGCGAAGCCACTTGCTTTTTGACGTTAAATATTTAATAAATCAACCTATGAGTTCTTCCAAACTCCTGCATGCCTCTGTGTTTACAGTAATTCAAATCAAATCAAGCCATAAATGTCCAGAAATGAAGTTATTTGTAAAAATGTGGAATGGCAAAGGGAAAAAGAATTG